GAATCATGAGATTTGCCTTCAAATTATGATTCCTCTAAAAATAAGAACAATTATTTACGTAAATACTTGTGAGATGCACACAAAGCTGTACAAATACTTCTGACAGTAATCAAAAGAAACACCGCATGATTCTGTACTGCAACACCTTAAAGCAAGTTGTCTTTCATGAGGGTTTAAAATGTACAAAATCTATTTATACAGTAAGATTTCTGTTTTATAGAGGGAGTCATAGCAACTGGCATGATGGTAGAGAGCCCTTGCCAAGGAAACAAAATAAATTAGACATTTTGTTGAATAGTCATGCTTCTGCCCTGACTCCTCTCCGAAATCCAGAAACTAAGATTCAAAGGAAGTATGCTGTGCTCAGGAATGGAACACCTACAGACCAAACAGTCCCACATATCCAGCAACACTCCTGTTTGAACAAAAGTCCTGTCACGTCACTATATATTGTTCCGACCCTTCAAAGCTGGCCCACGAGTCAGCAAACAGCACTTTAAAAACACCACCCGAGTAGAAGAGAGTTCCTGAAACCAACCGAACTGCGGAGCTCGAGCTGCTCCAGCTCCCTGCACAAAGGCTGGATTCTTTGAAATCCGCATCTCGTGCCCTGCGTTACTGGACACACACGTCCCGATTCTTTGTCCAGCTCAAGCCAACGGGCCCATTCATCTGCTCAAGGCCATTTAAAACACAACAATCCACCCCAATAACCAACACGTTTCGTTCCGTATTTCACTCTTCTTCTAAACGAAAGCAAAGCATGAGCTGTGGGTTGCAAGAAAAGTGTCCTCTTATTCTCCAGGTTCCAAACAGCCGAGTTATGCAGAGCAACACCAACACAAGGGATTTCCCTGTGGATTTCAAATGTTTAAAGAATTTACTCTAAGATGCATGCACAAACACTACTCAACAGTGAACTTGCTGAAAGACAGAGATCTCCTTTTGAGTCACACTGGCACTGCTTTTTATCCCATCCAAAAACCCTGGACGGACAGTTCAGACCATTGCAGCGACTGATTTATCATATTATTTAAACA